TGAAGAGCTTCTGTTAACATCATCCTCTGCTTTCTTCTTTTATTATTTTTTATTTTTTTTCATTTCTTTCTATATTCTGAAAGAAAACAAAACAAAACAAAACAAAACAAAACAAACCCCCAAAACCCCCCAAACCCTGAAACAAGCAATCAAAAAACCCCAACCAATAACAAAATCAAAAAAACTAAAACCAAGCTATCTTAAATATCATCCTGTGAAATTATGTACAAATATCAAAAGAAGAGTTGCTCCCTATGCAAGCACTCACATAGATCTCCTCTACCTCTGACAAAGAAGAAGGAGGACCTCCACAATACCCACACAGATTGAAAAAAAAAACCCAAAACCAAAAACCAAAAAAAACCCACCAAAATGTAACATCATTGCTTTTGGACAGTGAACTTCTTATTGGATGCGTATTAATTTTCAGTGATGTTTTGAACCCAAAGAAATTAATTTTCTCTTTATGAAAATATTTTCTTTGTAACTTCCAGAGGACTATCAGTTGAAGTATCTCTTTTCCAAGAAAAAAATAGGACTGTGTGACAAATGTCTAACCAGAAAAACAAGAGAAAGAGAAATCCATACTTCCTCACCAAGCTATAATCAAATTGAATTCCTCTTTCCAGCTGTGCCCTTGGCCCAGTTAAGGAATGATGGGAGATGCTCAATAGTCTATCAGCTGGACTGGGGTTCTGGTGACCCTGGGATTCATCACATCTCCATGAGGAAACAGTCAGCTCTGCACTTACTCGAGATCAAATAAATTCATGAGGGCTTAAATCCATCCTCACCTCATCTGCCACTGCCACCCTTCCAGGCCCTCCTATAATGGCCTGGTCAGAATAATGGCCTGGTCAGACTTCATCGACCAGACTTTGGGGCTGCTGCTCAGGAAGAACAAAGTGTATCACCTTCTGGGAGGGAATCGGCTGCTTTGCCAAGCTTCAAAATTTGACAATGGTTTGATTGCCTTAATCTCTCCTAAATTATAGATGAGGATCCAGGGAAGAGTGTTTACAGTCCATGGGAAACTCCACGGAGATGACCAGGAGATTCACTTTTTCTAGAGCTTACTTGTGGTCCAAATCAGAACAAACATCCTTTACAACTGCCAACCATCCAAGATAGGTAAGCTAATGTTTACTTTAAGAGAAGCAAAATTGTTCCTACAAGCCAATGGTACAGCATGCACCTTGCTTGCAGGCAGAACATGTGGAACACTCAGATATTCTTTGACCATCCTGCACACCCCAGCACGCTCTGTGTCTCTGCACACAGCTGGGCCCAGCTGTGCTTTCAACTCCACCTTTTGTGCTCCCACAGGTTCCATCCAGAATACACTGAAGCTGTGTCTGCAGGGATGCAAGATCTGAGTCAAACATGCTCTTCAGACCTTCACTCTGTGCCTGTGCAAGCCTACTGGACTCCTTCCAAAAATGAGCTGAGATCTCCAGGATGGAGGAAAGTCCCCATTGCCCTGTTTTGCCATAGAGCTATTTTACTCTGTTTATATGCTGGCTGTTCATCTGCAAATGTAATGCAGAATTGGCCCCTCAAAGAGAGTTTGAGTCAGTGATTGAAACATTTTTACTTAAATGAGCTTGTAGACAAAGACAAACAAAAGAGACTCTCTGGAGTCCATTAATTAACAGCATTATGTCATCTGCAAGACTGCAGTAGGTAAGTACTGTCCAAGTGTTCTCAGCATTTCAGCCTCAGAGCACTGTAGTTCTGCTTTGGTTAGGAAAAAGCTGTCTTTCTAGGGCTGCTCTCTGTTAATAAGGTTTCTGCTACTGCACAAATTTGGGTAATCTAATTATGCACGCCTTTTGTTTGAAAGTTTATGTAACTAGCAAGTCAGAGCTTCTTTTCAGAGTGTTTGAATGGTATCTCTTCAAGAGGTCAAGGGAGGAAATCTGAGATAATTGAGCAAAAAACAAATCACAATCAGCTGCTTTCATGTGCATCCAGGGGTTACAGTGGCTTCAGCCTGATTTGGGAACCAAGGAATTTCTCAGTAACCAGAAACTGATGTAGTAAGAGACAAAGATACGGGAGGGAGCTTATGAATAGAAACAATAGGTGCTGCAGTGGCTGTTGATGATATCTTTGCAGAATTAGGACTTTATTTTTCCTGGTGCTCAAAGCTCATGTATTCTTTTTTTGTTTGGGTTTTGTGTGGGTGGGTGGTTTGTTTGTTTGTTTGTTTTGGTTTGGTGGTTTGTTTTGGTTTTGCTTTGGTTGTTTTTTCTTGCTGGAGAAGGTTTTCTGTGTATTTTTTCAAGTAAAGTTACAGCTTTGCAGCTGAAGAGCTTTCTGGTATCCCTCTAGCTCCATCAAGGAGTATAACATAACATACAGCCCATGTAGCTCCTTTCTTTAGCTAACATGGGGTAAACATGTGAGTGCTTTTAAATTGCACTCAAACTAGGAGCTGGGAGGGAATTTCACAGCCATTAGCCAGCTTACGGAAACCAAAGCAGTAAAACTTACTCAGGCACTCACAGCCTGTAATTCTCCAAGAGGCATGTTATCCAAGGGAATTTATACACATTTACCAGGGAGGTGTCAGTCAGGAAATTTATCGTGTCTCTTATACCCAGCCTTTTCAAAACACAATTATTCCTCTCTGTTGGCTGTGCAGAGAACTGGGGTGCAGTAGGATGGTGCTGCAGGAGCTCACCATTGCTGCGACAATTCTCTGCTCCCTTTCTGCCCCCTCTGTCCTCCCTGAGCATGGATTGTCCCCATCCTTCCTTCTGCAGGCTCCATCCCTCCCCTGTGCCCCCCCAGCCAGAGTCCATTAACTCCAGTGGGTCAGCAGGAAAACATTCCCTGCTTGCTTTGTCTGTGAAGACTGACTTTAGGGCCTGGAAAATGGGGAACCAAGGCCTGAATGTCTGACCCATTTCACACTGCCATTTTCAGCCTAAGTGACCTAGAGATTTCACCCTGGGGTGATGGCCAAAGCTGATCCATGTTTATTCAACTGGCTTAATTCTCCTCCCTCGTGAAACTTTCTAGCCACAGCCCAGTGATATTATTTGGGTTACTTTATGCTCTCTGAGGAAAACAAGGCCTTCAGAAGCTTTGTTGTGCTGATTGTGACATTTGCTGGAGGGAGAAGGATTGAAATAAAGAAATATATAAACGGGCATCTGGGCTGCAAGTAGACAGCAAAATACATGAGTTTCACCATTTTTTCCCCTCTATGATGTTATAGCAATATTACATTATCTTGTCCAGAGACCAGGGAAAAGACACTCTGTAGGAATTTCAGGTAGTCCTTAGTCTGACTCCTAAATATCCTTCTCAGCATTTGCTTTTTAACATCTGACTCCAGTCCTAAGGTCTATAAACCAGCTCCACACTGGGGAAGAGGTTTCTGCTTCTGTATTGCACAGGTTGACACCATGATGGTAGGATGGTGCCTCCACCCCTTTCTTCTGAGAGCAGAGAAGGTTCTAGGTAAGAGAGCCCAAGCAAACAGACACACTGTGTTGCAGGGCTGAGATTAAAACTGTATTTATGCTTTGCTGGCAAATCATCTAACAGAAACCTGAACTTATCTCTTGGTGGGTAAATGGGGTTTTGTCTTACCAGCAGTGTCTGTGTTTACTCTTGGGGTGGATTCAGAGGAGCCTGATGAGGGTGAGGTGCCAATCTGCAGGTATCACAAACACATTAACAAGGAGAGGAGAGGAGAGATGCGAGGGAGCCTTCGCTCTGAGATACAATCAAGTCCCTAAGGACTCACACAATATCTGGAAAAGGCTATTCTTAGGGCTGGTATCTCTTAATGCTGAGTTCTGGTGGTAAACTGTCCTCAGCAAGCAGAAGCAGCACCGTTCCCAGCCTCTCTTCTCCTCTAGGGACTAGTCAGTGAAATGTCTCCCACTGTTCACAGCCAGCCTGAAGTGTCACCCCATCTAATCGTGCTTGTTTGCTGTGGAGATGGAAGTCACGGCTTGCTGGTCAAACTGCATGTGGCCAGCCACTCAAAGATGACAGTAAAGACAGTAATTATTCTGCAATTTGTGTTTAACGTGTTGTTCATATAGGTTTCGTGATGTCTTCTGGGGTTCTCTGCTGCTGTGGAGCCGTTGCTAACTGAGGAAATCTGGGAAATACCTAGATTATAAGGGCTGCCAAAACAGACCTTGCTGCCCAAAGATGCCTCACACCTGCATAGCTACATGTGCCACAAATCTCTGAAAACCACAAGTACTTCTTCCTAGAGAAATCAAAGTTAAAGTTCTATGTTAGGGTATGCTAGAGGCACAAGAAAGTATATTGTACTTAGGAAATTACTTTAGTAGGCAAATATTAATATTAAAAGAGGAGAAAATTACACAGAGGACACTTCTTACTTCTGTTATATTGCAATGAATCAGAACCTGAGTAAAACTTCTGCTAGATTTACTCCTGACTAATCACACAAAAATTACTGGCAGAGGCTACAGATTTCCAGAAAGCAAAGGAAGCATTTCTGTAGATTTTTTTCAGCTCTCTCACAAAGTCTTTTAGTTCCTTTTTTCTGCAACTGAATTTCTCATCTTGTCAGAACAAGCAGCAATGCATTTTGGAAAAAAAAAGTCATCCAAAGAATCTCTCTGAAAATATAACTTTTTCTCAGCCAATCTTACTTGTATTTAAAACTATATATGATGATCTATCCACCAAAGCATTTGGAGATCTTTATAATATTGATTAACTATAAACTACCTTCTAATTATATAATCTCTATATTTAACCTCATTAGGAACACATTAGCTTTACAAAACCTTACAAAATTTAGTCTTGAAAAATAAATCTAAATTCACAAACACCATATCAACTTGACTGCCTCATCTGGGTTCATCCCACTGAATGAAATTATCAGATCACAAAATTTTAATGACCTGGTGCTCAATTAAATATAGCTATTGATTTGTAGGGAAAAGGTGGATCATTCATATTCCTTTTTCTGTTTTCTTTTTATATATATTACCAGAGCTTGAAAAACTTTTCTTGGCTGAATGCAGGCCATGTTTTGGGTCAGTTCTCCATGAAGTAGATGAAGATCTTGCTTGCACGATTCCCTCTTTCTCATCGTACTAAGGTGAGAAAAAATATATGAGATATGAGGCAGTGGGGTTTCAGCTATAAAATGTATAAAATATGTTTATATAGGTATAAAATTATTCAGATATAAAATGTGTTTATAAACAAGGTAAACCAGAGACTCCTCAAAAGGCACTGGATATAATTTCTTTAGAGAAAAGGAATATCCCGGCTGGGGAAAAGAAAAAATCATACTGGAACACTGAAGAGGAAAAGCTTAGATCTTTAACTGTAGCACTCAAGAGGATGCACTGGGTACTGATACAATGCAGAATAATCTGTGAGCCAAGTGCAGTGTCACAGATCCTGGGAAATTACATGTGGTGTGTGGATAATGGCTCTGCAGCAGAGCTGAGCACTCCCCTGTCCTTAGGAGGCCCTTGGTGGCACCAACTAACATGTCTGGAGAGAGTCATTAATGGAAAAACTCAACAAGACCAGTATCATACATCAAAATAAATTTGGGTTTTACCAATCTGAATCCTATGTGGATTTGACCAGTATCCTAATTAGAAGCAAACCAAAGCTTTAACCTGAAGAAACAGCAGATCTGTCTGTTTTGAATCCTGCCTGTGTGATTCTTGATTCTCTGTGCACACCCACACCCCTCCTTTGAGGTAAGAGATGATGCATTTCTTGCCTGGGAAAACAGTAAAATGCAAATTCTTTACCAAATAAATGGCCTATTGTGAGGCAAAGGTGCATCTCCCCAGTCCACCCAGGGCTGACACAGATTATACACTCCTATCTAAGCCTCAGACTGCTTTGGGTAAAGCCCATCCATTTAATTCAAATAATCTTCTGTTTATCAGGAAAAAAAGATCAGATATCTGGAATGGAAAAGTGCATTTTGAAGCAATTAATTGCAGGTGTCTCTTTTGCTTTCTAAAGCTATTTATATCTTGAAAGATGGCATACAATGGTTTGAGTCATTGCTGAACATCTGAATTATAAAATTACTAATCCAGGGGCTAATTGCACTGATGGTTTATCATGTCAAGTTGTATTATACATGTGGGGTTTATTTGTTGCCTGACACAAACAAGGATGATTTTTCCTGGCACCACCCACACATACCTTGTACTTACTGCCACTAGGGACTTGGAAAAAAAAGCTGCAGTAATACAATTTTAAATATTCTTACTGTAATCTCTTGCTTGAGGGGCTAATGCTGCTAAACACAGAAGGCTTTCTAAAGTGTTGTGTGTAATGAAGGATGAGCCACAAGAACAGAATTGAAGAAAAAATATACCATTATCACAAATTGCAAACTTATTCAGAGTGATGCTTGGCAGTAAATTACAGGCTGTCTGTGACTTCCTTTCTGCAGCTGTGTGACATTTACTATCAGAACATGTAACCTTAAATTAAAGGGCAGAAAGAAAGTTGGGAAACAAAAGGAAAATGCATGCACATTGTAAAGGCATATATGATGTGCATAAGGGATTGATCTCCTGACCCAAGCACTGTTCTTTCTCCAAATTCCTCTCTAATTCACTTCTTCTGCAAAGGATTTAGGTGATAATCTGCCAGTGAAAACTTTTTTTGTACACATTCATAATTATATTTTTTTTTTTCTCACAAAAGCAACCTAAAAATCTATACAGCAGCCAGGTTGGACAGCCTTTTCTCCAGGGAATGTCACATCTCTCAGAAAACTAGTCTTCAATTTCTTTCACCAATATCCTCTGCAGTTTGTTTTTAGCCTGTTCCTTGTTGGACTCTCAGAGGCACTGAATTCCCATTGGAGTTGCTGATATTGAGTGAGCTTTGGAAATTCAGTGGATTAGCTCAGTGCTTATAGAAGGAAATCCTGGCATTTTGTTTCTAAATTCATCCATTCCATCAGAGATCTGGAAATTTTTTATCAAATGTTGGAAGGGCTGAAATAACCAGGGGAAAAAACTGTTCCAAGTAATCAGTAGTAGATGGAGGAGTGTCCCAAGGAGTGTGGGGTATTTTCAGCAAGGCTGTATTTGTATTTAGATGCTCAAATCCTTTTGAAACTCCAGGTCACTGACCTAATTTGTTTGTGATGCTGCACCTGCTTTAAATTGCTCTCCTCAGGCAAAATGACCATAAACCCAGAATAGTTAAGAGCTGACTCTGCCTCTGTGGGCAAGGAAGAGGGATAATGGATCCTACATGTCCCATATCAGCCGGGGATTTCTTCTGCTCTGCGGTGCTTGGATAAAAACCATCTCAATACAGTGTTACAGCCCCTTTGCTACAGTGCAAAAGCAAAGGTGCTGGGGATGATCTCACACTTCTCAGGACCTTGTTCTGTCATACTCAGAAAAGCACATTTAAACACACAGCATAGATCTGTTAGGAGCTGATGGGAATTATCTGCACACACTGCAGAGCCAGGGGAAAGAGTGAGGTTTCTTACAGGAATTAGAAATCCTTTATAGCAGGGAGGTTATGTAGGGCTTCAGTGAACGTGCTGCTCCAGCACAGTGACTGTAATGGATGCTCTGCAACTGCCGAGCATCTCTTTCCTACTCTTACTGACATTGCTCTGGGAAAATGGTGACAACATTAGTGCCTTCAGGTGCCTGGTGTGTGTAGCTGTTAACAGTTAAGAAACACAAGTGAAAAGAGGTTATTATCCATTGCTTTGCATTTCTAAAGCAGCTAGCTCAAAATTTTCTTGGTGCTTGGATGTAGGAGTGAGGACAGTACCATTGGAGAGCTCAATGTGGAAATACAAGTGTCCAGGAGATCTAGATAACAGCAGAACGGTCTAGGATAGTCTTGGAGAGCTCAGGTCTGACTAGCTCTTCTGCAACATGTGCAGAAATGGCAGAAAAGAAGGTTAGAAAAATTTTGATCCAAATGCTGCATGTAAAAATTCATTGGACATCCAGCACTGGCTGAAGACAGACATTATGCAGGTGAAAAAAGGCTTCTGGGGGCCTCCAGAAGGAGTGTTAGAGCTCAGAGTACAATCTTTTATTCAAATTACTTGCAGAAACCTATCTCAGTAAAACCCAGCACTTGGAGGGGCTGGCTGAAACACAAACACTTCCTCTTCTCAGCTGGTCTTGTAATTCTTGGTGACAGAATAGGTTAAGCTTTGTGAGTGTTGTGTTGGCCAAGCAGAAATTGCCAAATGCTGTGGGATCACTCCAGGTTTTAGGAGTTGGCAGTCAGCTGTGCTGTGCCTCAGAGTTGGACTTTCTCCCTCATACTTCATGCAGGGAATGCTGGAAATATTTTTGGGCACAGCTGGATAAGTGCACCTTGTGCTTCTGCCCACGGCAGCCTGTGGCACAGCCAGGTCATGTTTGTGGGGTGGGAAAGGAATCTCTGTTTATCCCTTCCTGAAGGATACTGGCAGTGAGAGAGGACTCAGGCAGCAGAGTAGGAGACACTCAGCTGAAGACAAAAGTATGCATTGAAAGAGAAGGCAATTATGAAGCTAAACCAGTAGGAGTGATCTGGGCCTGTGTTGTGCTGTCTTGGAAAACTTTCAAAGCCTTTTTAAGCAATTGGCATGAAGCTTTCTGCTGGCTATAAAAATGCCTTTTGAGAATCATCTCCCATTTGTACTTTTGCAATTCATGCTTTTAATGTCAAAAGTGCAAGTTTGCTTGACAGCCTGAGATAATGGAGTTCAGTCCAGAAAACATCAGTAGCATCTCAGCATTATTCCTGCTCTGCAAGTCTCAACCCTGCTTCAGAGAGAAACGTCTTGGGGTGAAGAGCAGGTCTGTTGGTAAGGCTGCTCCCATCCTTTGTGTGGCTGCTGAGCAGGTATGAACTGAATCTGGGTTGTCATAGCGGCTCTGATTGTGATATCTGTTCAGAAGGAGCTGCCCACAGCCAATAGGTGAATTTCACACAGACACAGGAAGGTTGGATAACTCTCCTTCTTGGCTGGGTTGAAGCCAGCAGCCACAACTATGAGGCAGGAAGTAATTCCACTGGGAAGGCATTGTGTGTATGGTGCACTTTACACAAGTTTCTGCTCCACTGAAGCGGAAGGGAGTTCAGCGTGTAAATGAGAGCTCCTCTGAATAAAGATGGATTTCAGTGCCTAGTTCAGTACTCCTGAAACTAGAAATGTAGCTATGCAAGACTACAGACTTCAGCCTCTATTTCTTTCTTGGTGCTCTGCATCACTTAGAATTCAGAAAGTTGCCTTCATGAGTCATCACTAGAACTATCTGCATCATGGAGCTGAGGAAAGGAGTCAGCACCCTCCCTGCTGGCACCACAGCACGAGCACGGGGCTTCCCCCTGCTGCAGCAGCCCCAGGGTGTCAGTTTGACTCCTGAGGCATTTGAAAATACACCAGAGTAGGCCTGAGGCTCTGCTCAACTTCAAAGGTCTTCTCAGGTTGTGAGGCTTCTGTAGTCAGCAGAGAGAGTGTAGACAGTAAAGTCAGCCCCTGCTCTGGCTCAGTCACAGGAGATCCCGGTGTTTTTTCGTTCACAATAGCAGGACTCTAATCGGACGTGCCAACTGATTGAGTTGCCTAAAACTGTGGTGTCAGCATCCCTCCTGTGCACCCAGATGTGCTCTTGTGCCAAGCCCAGCTTGAATAATCTGGACCTCTATATTTCATTAGCAGTCCTTTAGGTTCTCCAACCTTCTCTTTTGAATGTAATGCATTTTTAGTACTGCAAACATGAGTGTGTAATTCAGTGCATATGTTTTGGGAGTGGGGAGTCTATGAGAATGCCAAGCAAATCAATAAAGGTTTAGCACATCATTATTCATTGTAGCGATGCCATGAGGCATTTTGTACACCCTTCAGTAGGGAGGGGAAAAAAAAGAGGAAAGCTGTTATATGTGTAGTAGAATTTGATTTGAGAGGAAGAGTTTGCATCTGAATTGCATGAAGTCTATTAAAATTTTGGTCTTCCTCAGATTAATAGGATTATGCCATCCCCAAACTGATTGTTCCTAAGCAACGATGCAGATCCTAGTATGTGTTGGTTTATCTCTTTAGTTTGCTGCTAAACCAGAGAAGCTTCCAAAGATAGCTGAAAAACTGATGATATCAGGTGTAATACATAATTTTGAAGACATTGTTTTGAAAAGCTGGTCCATTTATCTTCTATTTGGAATCTGTAAGAGTGCATCAGGACTTGTGTAAGGCAGCTGGAAAATGTTTTTTATTTAATTTTTTTTAACAAAGAAAATTACCTGCACTGTCACCAACATGGAATGCTCCAGTATGCCATTTCCATTCATACACAAACACCTTACTGTGTTCGGGGGGAGCTGCTCTCTCTGAGGAACAAATCCTAAGTGGTAGCTATGAATAGCATCACAAGGCTTCAGAAACTGCAGTTTCACAAGGCTTTCCAAATGCTCTCCAGCATGGCTGCCTAAAGGGCCAAATCTTCCCTACTTTACTAATTAAAAGCTTCCTTCATGTATTATAAAAGAATGCACAGCTATATAGACTTTATACTAAATAATAAATAGCCAGTTGTGAATGAAGTAGCCATTTTATATTCAGAACTGTCCAAGTTGTGCGGAAATTTTGAAAGGTGCATTAGGATGAGATTAGAGTATTTTCTCTCTTTTCTGGATGTTTTTGGATTTGATGACATAATGGGATAACTATAATTTAGGAATCTATGCTTACTCTTCTGGCATTTAAAAAGGCTGCTTGAAGAACTCTGTTGCTTAACATCATTCATGCATTTTCTTTATAATAAAAAAATTGTGCATTTATACATAATTTAATATGAAGAAATGGCTTTTTAGAGTTCTCTGACAGCTGCCTAAAGAACATACTGCAGCTCTACAGACATCTGAATTTCCATAGAAAGCAATTGATCACCTCAGAAGAGAAATACATAAACTATTTAGTGGTATGAAGGAACAAAGAACAAAGTTTAGGACTGTAAGTGAAAAATACTACTATTGATAGAAATTTTAGAAGGAATTTATTTTGGCAGAATGTAATTACCCAACTGGATGGAGTGCTGTGATTTATGTTTGAGCCCGTGTGAAGTGCTTTAAGATGATTAATAACTGGCTCAATCCTTTATATTCATAACAGCACTTGTGGCACAATAGCACTGTAGTGATCTGTCACTCCAGCTATTGTGTTAGTGGATATATAAGACCCCTGCATTAGGCAAGCATGGAGTCTTGGGGCTGGTGAGCAGGCAGATGCAGTCCCTTTGCTATTTGCATTGCAGCCGTGCCAGGGATCTAATAAGGCCTCAGAGCCCTGCTGGGCCAGACGCTGAGCAGTACTTGAAATGAAAGATGGCTTTCCCTTTCAGAGTTCACAATTTAATTATGTGATGGGAATCAATAGAGAGATAGAGCAGAAAAGGAGGGCTGCATCACAGGAGTTGTTGAACTTCATATAATAAACACCAGCCAGAGTCCATAATCTGTTTGCATCTCTTATAAGACACACTTTTTGATGAGAAATGAAATTATCTTGTGTACAAGATGAAGGCAGATAATTTCTTCTTATTTGTACTTCAGCAGTAGCCAAAGATAACTGAAATTGTACTGTTCAGAGTTTGACTACCCCATGATTTGCAGTCCAAGAAAGTAAAATATAAGAGAGAGACCCTGAAAACATCATATATGATGTGATGGTCTCCATCTTAATTTGGCTCCTGGGCTCTTTGAAGGAAGTAGAGCACTGAGGAAAAGGCAGTGAGACTGGAACATTTTCTCTTCCTTGGCTGGTTTAATGGTGGTGCACAATAACTAAAAAGAAAAACAGAGTGAGAGAGATGATGCACAGAAGTGAGAATATAGTGGAGGAGAGGGAGGCAGAGATTGATGCAAAGAGAGTGAGGCTGAGCTGAAGATTTTGCAGGGGATTGTGAGGAGCCTATGAGCAGAGGTTAAGTGTCCCAAGGGAAATTAACAGTGTAATGATACCTTGTGTCTGATAGCCTTTGAAGACTGTTTCTTGCAGTTGTTTAAGCCAACCTGACTGCTTTGGCTCTGAACCTGACACTTCCCATACTGAAGGACAGGACTTGACATTTTCCAGCAAAATTACATGGTTTGTGAAAGAAATGATAATGTTCTCAGGATTTCCACCATGCTAGTGAAAGAAAAATAATATTTGTCAGATAAAGAAACAATACAGGGGAAGAAGCAGAATTTTTTTTTTTTGTAAAATTTATATATTTTTAATAAAATCACCAAGAATCAGCACAATAAATCAGCACAAGAATTTGTGCTGACTGGTACTGTAAAGAGAAAATAGATATATGGGGAAGAGGCACCTGGATTTTCACTAGTGTCAATGAGGAATATTTGGCTGATGTTGTCTCCCTGAGGAAGGCCATGGTTATGAGTAGCTATGTGGTTAGAATGGTCCAGAACCAGTTTTATTTTGTGCATGATTTTAGCTGATGCTTCCTCTCTTGGCTGAAGTTCACACTGCTCTATTTCTCTTCCTTGTTTTTGTGCTTTGCTTGCACCGAGGTCTCCTCGTCCTTCTTCCTCCTCCTTTGCAAAACTGAAAAAAAAAAAAAAAAAAGGAAAAAGAAAAAAACTAGGGAAGAAGAGCAAAATAACAGAAAGAAAACTGACAACCATTTTCAGATTATACACAGGACATGGCCAGTTACGGAGCGCACAGCGGAGCGCTGGCGATAAAGGCACGCAGCAAAGCAAGCCGTCTCGCCAAGCGGGCTCCGCTGCCGCCGGCCGCCGGGCGGTGCGGCGGGATGGGGCGGCGGTCTCGGGGGTCCGTGGGGCGGGCACGGGCAGCCCCTTCCCGGCCCGCCCGGCCGCTCCCTGCCGGCTCCCAGGCCCGCCCGGCGCCCTGTCCGTGGTGCTGAGCGGCGGCTCCGGGCCCGCTCCGCGCCGCCAGCACGGGAAGCACTTTCCTTCAGGCTCCGCAGGCTTCTACCTTGAGTTGCTGCTGCTTCTGCGGTGCAACAGATGTTTTCCAGCCTGGATTTTCCTCTTTTAGCCGCCCTAAGAAGGCAGGAAGATTAATTAAAGCCAGAGTCCCCATAGGTGAATTGGCTCCCCACGCGCTCGGGAGGCTCTCTCACTTTCCCTGGTTGTTATCTTCATCGGTTGCTTGCATAGGAGAGAGGATTAGATGAACACTGAAAACGCCTTCTGCCTTGATTTGTTGGTGTGTTTACTTTTAATTTTTAGGATATCTGCAGAAATAATGAGAAACAGCAGGGAACGAGAAACTGATTGAGATTGATCGTTTTGTGTATTTGGCTTGGGATGACCTTTGGGAAAGTGGGTATTTAATTTTTACTGATGTTGTAAAGGCACAGACAAAGTCCTGACCTTTCTGATCCGGGGTGACCACTATGAGCATCCCACTGAGAATTAATTACAATTGCCTGGAGCGGCTCCAAGCAGCATTTATTAGAGCACTATAAATGTGGTAAAAGCGATCAGTATGCCTGGGAGAAGCCATTCCATGTGCCTGCTGTGATACCAAAGAGCAGCTCAGACTTGTCCGTTTGTTGTATTGTTTTGCTGTTCATTAACAAGACCGAAGTAGGAGAGACAGCATTAGAACTCGGGGGCAAACATTTCCCGTCATTCTGCTCTCCACAAAGATACTTTTGTATTAGATTAAGGCACAATATATAGAACTAAGCAGAACAAAAATCAAATGCCTCCCCAAGAGACAGGACATGGTGTAATTCTCTGATTGTACAAAGCACAGTACAACAGCTTCTTCCAGCAGCCTCCTAGAAATGTAAAGTGGAAGTAACAGAATGCTTCACACAAGAACTCTATACAAGGAAGTATTTAGTACTCAAGGTATGCTATGATGCCATTACACTTAGCATTTAGCACAAAGCTGGAACTATTAATCCCATGGATTTTTAAGTCCTTTTCCCCAGAGATCTGCTTAAAAATGGAAGATCAGTTACATGTTCAAAGTTTAGGCAGAACTATTTTCTGTAAGATATGATTTTGTCTGATACTCTGACAAAAGAACTGGAATTTAATAAGAAAGTTTAAATTCAAATTTTAAAACCACTTTTTTTTTTTTTTGAGAAAGATTTAATTGGGAATGAGAATGAAAAAGCTAGAAATGTGGATTAATGTAAAACAGAAAGGACAGCCAAGTTACAGCAGATGGCTTCTTCTTGTTCTTTGAGTGCCTTATAATGAGGAAAATATGCTATGTAATGACAGTTGTTTCTAAACTCACTTTTTTTTTTTTTCAGCTGGGGGAGCATGTGTGAGATGTGGTTTACCATGCATCACTGGTTGAAAAAGGAGAATAAAAAGACATAGCTGCAGACAGTCTGTATTGAACTGTTTTTGTTGCGGAGTTCTGGAGCTCGGTTTGATGCATGATAGGAAAGACAGCCATTTCCCATTCCAGCTAAAACTGAATGAGCAAATAATCTCTATTTCTCCTTGCTGCCTCGCCTCCCTGAGCATCTACATTGCATAAAGGCTCTGATACTCTCTTTCTGCAACACAGCCTTCCAATAGCCCTTTCTGTGGATTGACCAAGATTTCTTTATTCTGACAGGTTTTTGTTCTGTCTTGCTGTGGTTGCTGTTATTTCCTTCCAGTGTCAGTTAATAATTCCTCTTGTAATGCGTTATCCAAACAACACATTTTCCTACAACTGAAAAACTGCTGTTAAGAATTATTTAAAATCTCCCCGTCATCCCATTTTTTTTCATTCCTTCTTATCCAAAATGGGGTTGAGAAGGGGAGGGAGTGAAAGAAAATGGAAGAGGCAGCCTATTCTATATGACATACGCTTGATTTCCCAGCAAGGCTTAATTACCATTGGGAGTAAGGACTCCTGTTCCTTTTGACACAGCGAGCATTCAGAGTGCAGCCAGTGCCTCTTGCCTATTCCAGTTTGCATGCACTTGGATGAGATTTGATTGCACACTGGGGCACATCTGAATACAATATGAATTGTATATGAGAAAGGAGAGCCTGGGCATGTCCCCTGATGGCCCCAGGCATCCGTGCAGCTTTCAGGCAGATGTAAGACCCACAGAAAGTGATATTTTTTGTGCTCTTTTCATATCAGGTTTCATTTTGCAAAGAAATGAGCATGCTGACCCAGAAAGTACAGGTGGAGCTTCAAAACTCCCATGTAGCTCAATCAGAAGGGCCTATGATAACACAAGGGCAAGGGAACCTTGCAGGACTGAGTTCATTACTGAAATCTGAAGGGACTCGTGCTTCATGCTTCATGGGTACACAGGTCTAATTGGAGACAACAGGAGGCTTAGGATATAATGTGCAAGATGGAAACCTATCATGGTGATTGCTCTTCAACTTTCCATAAAGACATGTGCATTGTGCTTTGAGGAGGAGCATGATTTGCCTTGCTGTTGAGTCTAAAATGTAACAAAATTGTATTAGCTCTAGTGAAAAAGAATAAAAGCTAGAGAATTCACATGCTGAAGCTATGTTGTTAAGGCCAATCAAGAATAAGCTTCAAAAAAAGGAAACAAATAAATACAGAATTCTAAAACTTGATTTGAAAAAAATTGTCATTTTCAAGATCAATCATAGTGATGTGGACCCTCAATCATGTGAGCAAACACTCACATACAAATTACTGTATGCTCAAAATCTAAGGACTTTCTTTGAGCAAAAAATCCAATTTTTCCCTGATTGGTATCCAAAATGCCCAGCTTTCACTGCCCATTCTGAAATGTGGTTTTGTGTCTCTCATGAAAATACTAAATGTTCCATAATAGAAACAGGAAATAATCAATCAAAATTAATATACTCATGAATTTTAAGGAAATTCTTAACTTCAGCTCCCTTTAAAACATTGGTATAGGGAAAGGTTTGTAACATTGGTAGACATTATTTTAAGAAGCTGGAGAAGATTGTTTGGAAAGCAGTGATCAGGTAATAGTTAGTAAAGGTTCACTACTACAAATGAAAACTGTTGCCTGAGATTCCCCAGGGATGTGTCCTGAGTTTGGTAATGTTTTGTATTTACTTCAGGGTCCTGGATGATGAAGTAGAAAGTATGTTTAGCACATGTGCAGATGTCACAAAGCTGGTGGAGTAACAATCAAAGTGATCCTGACAAATGGGACAGCTGGCCAAAAAAACTAGGATGAACTTACTTCAAAGAGAAGAATGTAAGGTCTGCACTTAATCTGCAAAAATCAAGTGCATTAACACAGAATGGGAAACAGCTGACTAGGCAGCAACTTTGCTGAAAAAGATGTTGAGGTTGCAGTGACTCACAAGTGGGATATGTATCAACAGGGTCATACTATTACAGTAAAAGTAAACATGAGGCTTTGCTATTGAGAGCTGCATGTCTAGTTCTGGGCAGTGAACTTCAGTATATGTGGAGGCAGTTCAAAAGAAAGAAAGGAAAATGACCAGAGAATTAGAAAACATGTCCAATGAGGCAAGAAACAAAGCTAGGGCTTTAGTTTATTGAATCAGTGACTGGAGAGATGTGAGAAGCTTTCAAATAATCACAGGTTGTCATCTGCTCTCTGTATCTATTGTGGATATCAAGAGAAATGAATGTGCTAAAATTACATAATAGAAGAGTTATATTAGATATTAGCAAAAAGTTTTTGACAATAGAAACTAGGCAAGAATACATGGGGAAATGGTGACATTCTCTGCTTTAGATTAAATACCTTAAAATAATAAAGCAGACATCAGTCCATAATCATATCTCTCTCATTTATGCAGGTTTGGCACAGGAAGGTGGATTAAGATAACTCTTTCTGCCATTTTGGCCCTATTTTCCATGTCTCTATCACTACTCTCATGATTTAATTCTAGTGTTAACTTTTCTATCTGCAGTTAATTTACATACATTTTGGAAAGATGGTCTTAGTAAAACTCCATCTCACCTCTATGGTTTATAGACTTAATTTTCTTCTGGTGCTCTCCAATGTTTACGTCTACTTTCACACCTTAATCCTTTACATCTCAGCTTCTTCCACTCTGGGACACCAGATGCCAAGTCCACTGGGCAAACCTAACTGGTGATCCAACTGTATCTAGAAGCTGGGGACAGGGAGTTAGAGAGTGTCATCTCAGTTGTAAAATAAACTCCTTGGTCAAGCTGGATGGAGACAGTCTCTTTGGCCTTGTGTCACTTCCCTGTCACATAACAGGATATAACAGCTCACTTGTCACAGCACTCCTAAGAGGAAGCTGTGTACAATGGGCCAGGGAAAGCTCAGAAGCATTTTGTACTCACTGTTGTGCATCCTTGTACACTTGGTCATTTGATCCCTGCCATCTAAATGGCTGTTCCATTTCTAAAAATAAGCTGATACTTTGTGAGGCAGACACTCACATCAGTAATCAGGGTGCTCCCAGGACAGCTTTATTCTCATGAGGTATGTATGGTTGAAAGCGATGGATTTTATATTTTTTCTATTTTTATCCATTTTTATCCATTTTTCATTGTACTCCTCATGTTTGTTTGCTGTGTAATATTCCTCCTAACAAGTCCAGGATATGCCAGGAGCATATTTTTTATTGGCATCTACTGTGATATTTAAAATTGAATTTGAATAAAGAAAAATAATTTAAGATAACTAATCCTTTCATCACAGCTATCTCCTTCATTATTCCTCCCTCACTTTACCTCACATACTAGACTGCAGTTGATGTCTGTCCAAAGAAGTGGGATGCTGCTGGGACATTCCAAAGTTTTGAACAAGCCTGGGTTTGGCTCTGCAGTTCTGGGCATCCACGTGTCATTCAAAGTAGTTTCATATTTAAGGCAAATCACATGGGGTCACATATAAGCCAAAGCCACTTCTTGTTCAGATAGATTATCTTCACTCTGTTCCCTTGACTTTCCCAAAGTCAGAGATGGTAATGGAGTACAACACTGAGGCACTCACTCTTTTCTATGGATGAGAAGAGAGATTTCTAAGGGGGCCTAAGGGACCTAGATGATAACCTCTTGCTGAAAGTCAGTGGGAAATGGACGGATGCAATCTCTGTTGGTAAACTTTACCCTTGAGAGAGACAAGATGGACAAAGAAATCAAATGGAGTGAGGCTACCAGTAACTATTGGATATCAGGCTGGGAGCAATCCAGCATAGTTATCATGAATCTTTCAATATCCATGTCTGTTTATGGGCTTGGTAGAGTGAGAAAACAGCTAGGGACTTCCCAGAGCATTGCATAAATCCAACTGAACAATATGTTGTTATTCCTTACCCTTTTATTTTTCTCCAAGAAAACCCATTTTTACCTATATAAGAGATTTCTTTTGACATTATACCCCTGTTATGTTTGGTGGCCATAACACAAGGAGGCACAGAAGTTTAGGAAAGGACTGCTGGGTTTGCAAAAATCTATAGTGAATCCAGCCAGGAGAAAAAAAAATGAGCTCATCTTTAGAGGATGGGAAAGTGTTTGCTACAGTAGTCTTTGAAACATTTCAGACTGTCCTGTTTGCAGAAACACAACTATCCTTGTG